AAAAGAACAAAGCTGGAGGCATCACACTACCTGACTTCAAACTATAGTACAAGCCTACAGTAACCAAAACAGCATGGTACTGGTACCAAAACAGAGATATAGACCAATGGAACAGAACGGAGCCCTCAGAAATAATACTACACATCTATAACTATCTGATCTTTGACAAACCTGACAAAAACAAGAAATGTGGAAAGGATTCCCTATTTAATAAATGGTGCTGGGAAAACTGGCCAGTCATATGTAGAAAGCTGAAAGTGGATCCCTTCCTTATACTTTATACAAAAATTAACAGATGGATTAAAGACTTAAATGTAAGACCTAAAACCATAAAAACCCTAGAAGAAAACCTAGGCAATACCATTCAGGACATAGGCGTGGGCAAAGAAAGACTTCATGACTAAAACACCAAAAGCAATGGCAATAAAACCCAAATTAGATAAATGGGATCTAATTAAACTAAAGAGCTTCTGCACAGCAAAACAAACTACCATCAGAGTGAAGAGGCAACCTACAGAATGGGAGAAAATTTTTTGCAATCTACCCATCTGACTAAGGCATAATATTCAGAATCTACAAAGAACTTAAATAAATTTACAAGAAAAAAAAAAAAAACAACCCCATCAAAAACTGGCGAAGGATATGAACAGACACTTCTCAAAAGAAGACATCTGGCTGGGCTCGGTGGCTCATACCTGTAATCCCAGCACTTTGGGAGGCTGAGGCAGGTGGATCACGAGGTCAGGAGATCGAGACCATCCTGGTTAATACTGTGAAACCCCATCTCTACCAAAAATACAAAAAGTTAGCCAGGCATGGTGGTGGGCGCCTATAGTCCCTGCTACTAGGGAGGCTGAGGCAGGAGAATGGTGTGAACTTGGGAGGCGGAGCTTGCAGTGAGCTGTGATCACGCCACTGCACTCCAGCCTGGGCGACAGAGCAAGACTCCATCTCAAAAAAAAAAAAAAAAAAAAATGAAGACATCTATGCAGCCAACAGACACATGAAAAAATGCTCACCATCACTGGTCATCAGAGAAATGCAAATCAAAACCTCAATGAGATACCATCTCACACCAGTTAGAATGGCAATCATTAAAAGTCAGGAAACAACAGATGCTGGAGAGGATATGGAGAAATAGGAACACTTTTACACTGTTTGTGGGAGTGTAAATTGGTTCAACCATTGTGGAAGACAGTGTGGCAATTCCTCAAGGATCTAGACCTAGAATTACCATTTGACCCAGCAACCCTATTACTGGGCATATACCCAAAGGATTATAAATCATGCTGCCATAAAGACACATGCACACTTATGTTTATTGTGGCATTATTCACAATAGGAAAGACTTGGAACCAACCCAAATGTCCATCAATGATAGATTGGGTTAAGAAAATGTGGCACATATACACCATGGAATACTATGCAGCTATAAAAAATGATGAGTTCATGTCCTTTGCAGGGACATGGATGAAGCTGGAAACCATCATTCTCAGCAAACTATTACAAAGACAGAAAACCAAACACCATATGTTCTCACTTATAGGTGGGAATTGAATAATGAGAACACGTGGACACAGGGTGGGGAACATCACACACCGGGTCCTGTCATGGAGTTGGGGGCTGGAGGAGGGATAGCATTAGGAGAAATACCTAATGTAAATGATGAGTTGATGGGTGCAGCAAACCAACATGGCATATGTGTACATAGGTAACAAACCTGCACGTGGTGCACATGTATCCTAGAACTTAAAGTATAATTAAAAAAAAAAAAAAGAAAGAAATTCCCCAGCAAAAAAAAAAAAAAAAAAAATTCACACACACACACACATACACACACACACACTGGTTGGAATGCTCATGTATGTTTCCAGTGTTTATATAAATATGCAATATATTGAACAATCTAAATTATTTGAGACATACACTAAAGTTTTGATCAATTATAGATACTTTATAGAAGTCAATTTGTCTTTTTTAATGGAGATGATAATTTTGACACAGACATATGTAAACGATGAGAAAAATATCTGACTTTCAAGGTGAGAGTTATATTCGAATTAGTTAAGAAAAATAAAATGTCAGCAAACCGAAGGAAAAGAGGATAGATTTACAATACCTTGTAAAAAACAGGCAAAATAAGATGATGGAAGCTTCAGAATGCTTACATTTTATAAGCACAAAATCTCACAAAAGTGAGATTATCTGAAAATATAGAGTTAATTTGACCAGGTAGAGTTAGGTTTTGAGGAAGTGAATTGTACATTTAGGTTGCCCTGGCAACAGGGGTATCTTCTTATGCTGACATTATAATTGGAAAAACCATTTGAAAATTAAGTAAACTGTAATTAGAGGTGGCCCGATCTCCCTTGGAGGTACAATTGGAAAAGGGTTTGGGGCAGGTTTATGCCATCCACAAAAATGAAGTCATGAGAGAGAACAGTTGAGTTGTGCTTAGAAGAGAGAAATTGGGCCTTATACTCAAGAGTGTCTGAATATGGCACAAATCTTTTGCTTTTTTCCCACTGATTTCAGTTGAAGTTGGGGAAAATAAATAGATTGCATAGATGTATGTTTACATTGTCTCAATTGCTGTATATTAGTTAGAATCACTGCTGGAATGGAACTTTGGACTTGGAAACAGTGGGAACTCATTGTTTTCTGGATGCTTGTGAAAGGCGGCTTTTGACTCAAGGTCTCACAGCAGGCTGTGCTCTGGATGCTTCTCCAGCTCTTATTAGCACGTGGAGACTGGATATATTCCAGGCTTACAATGATTCTACTTCTATTACATTTCTTTCAGTATGAGGAAACACATTGTCTTCAGAGGCCACCACATTCCACCAAAAGCTGCACTTTTGCTAGAAAGTTCTTTCTTATTCTGAGCTGAAATTTACCTCCCAGTAACTTTAATTGATTAGAGTCACCTATAGCAGTTTTAAAAACATTTTAATCTACTCTTGAGCTTTAATGACTTTAAGCAAATGCCTCTTATACAGTAATGCGTTTAACATGGTATGTTTAAATATGTCTGTTAGCAATTGTGCTTTTATTAACTATCATAAATAAGAATAATATATTCCTATTATTAGCAATAATATTCTATCATTACTTGCACTTACGTACTTATCACTTTATATTTTTATAAACACATAAGTACAGCAATTTCCCTGCCTACGAGTCTCTCCAGGCTGGAGAATAAGTGTGAGGTACTGAGAGGAGAGGAGAAGTAAGGTTGAACTCATCATTTGATTGATTTCAGGCTTTTTATTCTTCGTTGCTCTGTTAACCACCTACAGCCAAAGGATGAGGTTAGTCTCAGGTGGTACTCAGATGGGATGCATCAAGCTTGAGGGGATCAGTGACATCTATTTTTAAACATTATGATTTGTGAAAAATCAATTTTGCCTTTTGCTCCCTTGTTTTGATTTAGTCCAATTCTCTCTTTTGTAGAAAACTAAGCCTCTGTACAAATGGCTGGTCTAAGAGCATCACAGCTTTCCTACAAAGTTGTCGTTTTTCTCATCTTAAAAAAACCCCGAAAAATCTGGTCTGACTAGTAAAACATTGGTGTTTTGTTATTGTTGTTTTTCTCTGTAGAGGATATACACCAGCAACGTGAAGCCTCTAGCTACCTATTTTGGTTTCTCTTATATATCAAGATTGCCTGTTTGATCCAGAGAAAGGGAGCAAAATAAATGAAATGAAGTCATGGATGTTTTTATGTAATTGGCATTTTCTCTCTTTTCACACACAATTAGATGGAGTTCATTCTGTAATGCTGGCTTAATCCCTGCTACTAGAGAATTTCAAAGACAACTCATGCTGTGAATGTGAGCTGAGAGCTAGGTGAATGATTAAAATAAGGCAAATTTGACCCTATTGCTATTATTTCTAAGAGCTATAGTAGAATCGTGTCTTGAAGGATACTTCAAAGTTCTCTAAAGAAAAAATAAATAATAATAGGAACACTACTAACAGTACATTTTCTAGGATAAAGGCACGTTAGATCATTTGAGAATAGTTAATTGAAATGACAGACTTTAGAAGTCAGGTTTCAGAAATGTATATTTTGCATGCAAATAGTATAGACAATACTTTTTAGTGTAAGAGAAAAGACAGCAACTACTGGGTAAATTTTCAAGGATTTATTTGGCAGTATTTCATGAGCATGTACAGCATCCAAATAAGCTAATAAAATGCTTCAACTCAGTAAACAGCTGCTTACAAAGGGATTTTAAAGATAAATATCAAAAGAGAAAGATGCTTTAAAGGTTAAATAAATTATGGAGTAAATTAGCATTAATAACAAGTTATAAGGAAATTAGAACATTTTTCACAGTGTTCACTGTTTCATAATGAATTGTTCACAACAAATAAATCTTGATGAAAAGCAAGATTTGTTTATGAATTGTAAAGAAAATGAAATAATTTATAGTAGAAATAATGGTCAAAAGGTGGTTAGAGGGAAAAGGAGAAACACAGTATATTAATAACTTGAAGTTTATTAAAATTTTTACTTTGTTTTTAGTAAGAATGAGTAGGTGAAATTTACAAGTGAAGTTAGATAACAAAATAGCTATTGTTTCTTCAAATTCAGTTATCTTAAGACAATTGAAAGTAATTCAAAATATATGTTACAAAAATTCTCCCATAACACAGTGTTAATTAGGTAATATGAAAAATGCATCAACACCTTAAAATTAATAGAATATGATTTAATAAACTACTTTTTGCTTGAGAAGATTACCGTAGTTTAATAGAAAACAGTGCTGCATCTCTTTATTCACAAGTATTCAAATTAAATTTTATATTAATTTTACTTACAAAAATAATCATGTATATAAAATAAGAAAAATGCAGGCAATCAGAAAATGATATTCACTAATGTTACTCACAATTCACAAAGCACAGCCTTGTATATTATTTTATTGTGCAGGGTAGTAACATGAATTCACTTAAACTGACATCCTGTCAGTATTTGCCTTTTTCCACTAGGAAACATAACAAGATAAATGTTTGAGCTACAAACACATTTTCTTATTTAATAGCCACTAACAGCCATAATTAATTATTGGAAACTGTAATTCAATCAAGTGTGATTATAATTAAACATATACACACAAAGATGATTATGAGTCTTTCTGGCAATAGTAAATAAAGTTATCTATTGTTGAAATATGATCACTATTTTTGACTATCGGTAAAAGTATTAATTTCTGGTCAACAGTCATTTTCACTCTTAGATTAGGCTGGAATATAAGTGGCTATGTGGAAATATGCCTCCTAGTATAAAAGTTTGCCCAAAGATTTTTTTTAAAGATAGGTACACAGACTCTAATTTATTAAATTCCAACATATGAGTTTGGTTAGTTTTTAAAAATATTAAAGAGATTATAATTACAAAGAGGGAGAAGGGAAAATAAAGATGACAAAGAGAAAAGAGCTAGAGAAGGAGGGAGAGAGAGATGAATAGGCAGAGGAAATAGTGGTGGGGTGGACTGGAGCAATGTAGAGAAATACAAGGATAGTCACTACAAAGATAAGAACAATAGAGAAGAATTCAAGGGGAATCATGTTACCTCAGTAGAAGACTCTATAATCAGAAAGCCATAAATATGGGACCCACTATTTTTTAACTTAAATTATTTGATAGGAATTGAGGTTAGACTGTAATATTGGACATGACTCAATTGTGAATTCAATGCATATGCAGATTTTATTGCACTTACCATTCAATATGATTATTCACATCACCTTTGTTTCATAATGTAATTTTAAAAAACTGGATTTGAACTAATAAAAATTATACAATTAATTACATTCAGCTTCAACCTGTTGAAACAAACCTGCTAGCATGACCCCTGGTGGTAGTCATCTATAATACTTATTAGGGCTGGATATTTAGGTCCCAGAAATTTCTGCATGCTGGTTAATATGATTAAAAAAAAAAATAGGATGGGTAAATTAGGCCTTTTTGTTCTGTGTTTCATGTTAATTGAATATTACAGTGTGTAAGACACTTTGCTAGGCATGTATTAGTTTTATTCCTGGATTTGGGCAAATATCTGGGAGTGGAATTGCTATGAGATATATATATATATCTCATATAAATATATATATATATCGTAGACTCCGGTAGTGGTGAGAAGTATAACAAACACAGGGAAGTACATAAACTCTAGTTATATAGATTAATGAATTTTAGAAAACTGAACATATAACCACAAGCAGTACAGAGACAAAAATATTAGCAGAACCCCAGAAGTCCCTCTTGTGCCCCTTCTAGTAACCCCTCAACACGTCCGCCTCAATGGAATAACATTCCATTATATGAGAATATCACCATTTGTTTACTTATTCTCTTGCTGATGAATAATTAAGGGTGCTTTTCAGTGTTAGGATACTATAAATAGTGCTTCTATGAATTATATCTTTACATGACTTTTGGTGAATAGCTATACACGCATTTCTCCAGGGTATATTCCTAGGAATAAAATTGCTGGGTTATAGGGATATAAATGTTAAACTCTCATTGATACAGTCAAAACGTTTTCTGATGTGGTTATATTAGTTTACACTCTCACCAACACTTCCAGTCAGTTGTTCCACATACTTACCAACACCTGGTACTATCTTTTTCATTTTAACCTTTCTGATACAAATGTACTGGCATAGCCTTATGATTTTAATTTACACTTCTCTAATGCCTAATGATTTTGAGCACATTTTCATATATTGACTGTGCATTTGTGTGTCATCTTTTGTGAGGACTCTTTCCATTATTTTCTCTTATTGATTTGTAGGAGTTTATTATATATTCTGGAGACTTTTTGTTGTTATATTTATTGTGAATAATTATTCTAGCTACTGGCTTGCATTTAGCAGCTTTTTTGAGGAAAAATTTACATGTCATACAGTTGCCCATTGTAACTATACAGTTCAGTGATTATTTTTTAGTACATCATGCAGTTGTACAATCATCCCTACGATTCAATTTTAAGGTACCTCCTTCACCCTGAAGTTTCCCTCATACCTGTTTTCTGTCAGTCCCTGCTTCAACTTCCATCTGCAACCACTGATCTATGTCAGAAAGTGAATATTCTCATGTTTCTGCATAGTTAGGACTTTCTGATAAATGTTACTGGCATCTGGGTCAAAGGACAAGCTCGGACGTTGAAGTGTGTTACACAGGGAATTATCTGCTCTTAAAGAGTAATAAAACTTATTTCTGTCAGAACATTTATTTACAGTCCAAAGGACTCTAAAAGACCAGGGAGCAAATGTTTCTCTCTCAGGAACGGAGGAAAGGGAGGGCATTTTATTTATATTTTTATATGTGTGTATATACACACACACACACACACACATATGTGTGTGTATATATATATATATATATTTCCAGATTCATAATTTTAGGCTTCCGCTCCTATGATGAGACCCTTGTACATGTAGTGCTAATCATGTGGCTTTCCTTGCATCACCTATGGGACACTGCTGCCGTTGCTGTAATGAACAATGATGACTCTGAGTTCCAGAAACTTCATGGTTGCATTCAGGATAACAAGGAATAAATACAGATCATAAAAACTTACCAAGTTTACTGACAAGAATGGGATCCTGTTTGAAACGTGGTTTTCTGAAAGAGATAGAGGATGACCCCCAGGCTAACTAACAGGATTTGAAAGAAGACAGCAAGAGCCAATAGCAGACAGATTGAAAGGATTGGAAGACAACTGTTGGTCGAAGGCTGGGGGTAGGTTGGAACAAGCAGCCCAAATGGTTTTAGGTTTTAGAGAAGGCTTTTAGTTTTTGCCTTCTCCTAGCAAGAGAAGAAAGGGTCCAGGAATTCCCAACGTTGGGCTTTTGGTGGGTGGGTAGAGAATGTTAGAAATCTATGTTGTTCGCTCCTCTATGTAAGAAGAGAAGAAATACCCAAGGTAGGCTTTGGATAGGTTCCAAATAGAAGTTAGAAGTTACCTTATTCACTGCTCTCTCTTCTGGGCAGAAAGAGAAAGCATTAATTAGTTCCCAAAGCTGAAGCGGCTTTGGACATTGCAGCTGCTAAACTGCTTGGACCTGAAGGGAGAGGTCGCTCACTTACTCTGGTGGGAACAATTTGTTGGCTTCCTGATTGCTCACTCCCACTCTGATCTCAGCTCCTTGAAGATTTAGGGGTGGGGCTCAGGTCTTCTCGTCACCAGAAGGCTGAGATAGCTCTACACATTCATCCCTTTATGCTGGGAGAACTTTGGAAGGGAGGAATTCACTTGTTGATACCTCTGTTGTGTTGGACATAGCTATCATGTGCCTAGTTCTGTGGCAGAAACGGATGTGGGACTTGGGTATGGAGAAGGGTGCCAAGAAAGTAAAATGCGGAGTTATGGTTGCATGTGAGTTCGGAAAGAAATAGCCCTAGCACAACCGGGATGCTGAGAAGTGCAGAAGCAAGGGGCCAAATAAAAAGGTAAGGGGAAAAACCTCTCCACCCGCCTCACCTAGTCTCCACTGCCACTGCAGCCGCCATGGCTCCCAGCTGGGAGAGAGCAGGATTCCTCAGAAGCTGTTACCTTAATCTCTGAAACACTACGTTAACTGTTAGGATCTTGAGCAAAACTTGAAGAAAAGAAAAAAAAGTTTAATAAAACACTGTATTGTTTTGTTGCTATTATGTCTGACTGTGTAGTAGAAATAATTGCAGGACTTTTTATGCTTGTAATTCCCCACCTCATAGGTGCTAGAGGGGATTATTTAATCAGGAATAACTAAAAATAGAGAAGTTTTAGTGGGATCTGCCTTGGAGACAGAATAACTCGCTGACTGAGGACTTAACGCTGTTTGCCCAAAGGAAGCCTCTGGAAATTCTGGTGATGATGACATAAAAAATACGATTTCAGATACTAAATTAAATCAAGACTTTTTAAAAACCTTGGTTATAAAAAGTTTTTTTTCCTCACAGTTGTTTAGGATTTAGAAGGTCAGCTGAAGGTAGTCCCTCGTCATCCTCCATGTTCAACCCTGGAGTTGAAGGACTTTAATTCTTAAAGCATTGTTTCTAGAAAGATTAATATGATGGAAGTGATATTAAAAATTATTTTTGGATTTTTATACTGAAAGACAAATTTTACTTTTGTTTGATTGTGCAATAAGATGCTCTCTATTTACAATTATCAGCTGAAGAATTTCTACAAAGAGTGGATGGGTAGACATTTCTAATATGCCTTTGCTATTCTGTTGTTTGTTTTTCAATTATTGGGATTGATTTTACCTGAAATTGCATAAACCAACTGGAAAAAATTTTATAGGATTGCAGTAAATTTGAATATAAGGAAATTTCAAATCATAGATATGAAATTGAAAGTTAAGTAAATACGTTCAAATCTACCTAATCCCCAAAGGCAACATTCAGGTTCTGTGCTTTAAATAATACCATGTTTAACCAATGAATCAACCAAATTCATAGAGATGCTATGACTAGTAAAATATTTAAGAAAAATATATCTTTAAAAAAGCAGAATTTCTGCTTTGCCATATTGGAGAGGTTTGTAATAGAATACCCAAGGATGTGAGGTATATTCCATTTGGCTTTATAATTCTATGAAGACATAGAGGTTTATTTGCTAATTATATTTTTTTCCTTTCATGATTTAGTACAAAAAATTATTGACAATTTAAGCCCTCATCTCTTCTTTCTGGGAACTCATTTAAGCTAATGTATTCTGTAATATTCCAAGTAGCGTTAGAATAATCATGTTCTATCCTGTTATGTAATAAAGATGATAGATAAAATTTGCTCTCAATTTTGTATCATTTTTGCTTTGCTTTTGCTGTAACAGCATGTTCCTATAACTATACAATATTAGAGTTAGTTTTTTATAGTGTTAGAAATTTCTGCATTTCATATCATTGCTGCTAAAGGTATTAAGGATGATTAGTTCTATTTTTCAACAATGAAATCCCTGTACCAGAAATAGAAAGTGGAAACTTAGGCAAATGTGGCTGAACATATGGATAAATGTGATTATCTTATTTATTCACTCAAAAACATTGAGTGCTAAGTATGAGTAGGACACCATTTTATATACTGGCCATGCACATGTAAACAGAACTTATAGAAATCCCTTTTCTTAAAAAGCTTATATTCTAGGGGAATGAAACAGACAATAAGGAAAACTTGTGAGTAAAATCTGAAGCATATTAAATGCTAACGAGAAAGATCAAGCTGGAAAGTGGGGTAGCCATGGTGGGAGGATGGCAGAGATGAGGTGTTTGGTTATTGGGTTCATGGCTGCATCTTCTAGGAGAATGTACACTAAAAAGGCAGGGGCACACCCGAAGGCAAGGACTCTGCCTGATGTCACTTGCCATCACATCCCATGCACACCATTATACGGGGTAATTGACAAATGCTGAATGAATGGGTGGATAAACTCGGTGTAGAGTGAATCCTCCCGTTATCCTGATCGACTCTTTTTTCACACTACTTTATATAGTATATAATGTTATAATTAGTTGTGTTTATTATTTATTGTCTGCTTCACTCAGCTGGAAGATAACCTGCCCAAGGGTAAGAATTTTTATTCATTTCATACACTTATATATCCCAAGATCCTAGAACATTGCCTGAGAGAGTAACATTCAGCATGCATTTGTTGAATGAGTGAATGGATTCTATGAAGTCATTGCATGAGGAAATAAAGTAGCTATTAGTTTACCATAGAGGAATTGTGCTGCTTTTGGCAAGGAAACTTTTTCCTGCCAACATCACACATTCTGCTACTGACAAATTCACAATTTGTATGTTCAAAAATGGTATGAATAAAATGCTTAGGAAGCTGATCCTGATGTGAAATTCATGTGCCTTAGAAAATCAAGAAACACCTGCACATGAAAATACATAGCATTTTTAGTTATATTAGCCTTAACCTGGAAACAACCCAAGTATCCATTAACATGTGAAAGGATAAAAAATGGCATATCTATGTAATAAAATACCGTTCAGTAATATAAAGAAATAATGTGGAGACATGCACACTAATATGGTATATTCTCACAGAGAAATGTTGAAAGTACAAACAAGTATAATTATTCAACTATCAATGACAGTGATACTCTGTGCTTAAAAATTTTAAAAGGGGCCTGGTCAAGAAAACAAAAATATCCATTCAATTTTTAGAAAAATGAAGAAAGAGTATGTAAAAACAGATGAAACAAGTCCTTTAGTTAGACTTGACAGTTGACAGACCTGGGGTAGATGTTTTCACTGGCTAAAAGGTACTACAATTATTTTCGTTGTTGATGTTCTCATTGGAAGAAAATGTTTTTATATCCGTTCTCAACCCAGAAACATAGCCATATTCAAAAATTATTTTCTGGCAAAGCTAATGAAGTTTCTTTCGAAACCCTAAGAAAGATCAGAGGTTTGAAAGAGGTGCAGTTTACACTTGAAAGAACCACAGGCAGCCTAGAAACGCATCTTGAAGATCACAGTTTAGGAAACTAACACCTGAGAATGAATTCCCCATATTAACATGGCATCAGTGATTAGGGCACAAAACTCAAGGACACAGTGTTTTCCTTCCTGTCCATCTTGAAATTCCTAGTGATTTGCCGACAGCATTTTTAGAAACATTTTTGTTCATGACTTATATATGACTATTAGAAAGGATTTCAATTTCTTGAGGGCAAGACACTGAGACTTCTCGTAAACCACATCCTGCCTAGAGCCCTGGGCAGGTGGCAGGTACTCTTTAAAACAGCAATCAACATCCATGAAGCCATTTCCAGTAGAACACTGTGGGCTAAATTATTTTCACTGAGAAGATTATAATCATTTATAGAGAACTTAGAATTACACCACAATAGGTGATACCTACTGGTATTTCATAATCCTAATTTGCCTCTTTGCTTCTTTTTTTGTCTTTCTAGGAACTTCTAGAAGATTCTATTTTTACACTATGTTTCCAATAACAGTATAGTTCCTCAGAATGCTAGTCCTGTGCATTGTGCCACAGAGAACAGTTTTGTGGTGAAATTATGAAATACTGTATAACATTTTCCTTCTGTCAGGGTTACAATGCAAGCTAAGATTTTAAAAATTCTAAGAAACATCTGCATTAAGGTGACTCCTTTGACTTTCTTTAACCCAACATCTCCCAAACTTACTTTCTTCAGAATTCTTTTTTAGTGTAAAGATGTCTATTTTTTAAAAGTGTATAAGATACCATCTATTTTAAGATATGTTATTTATGTGCCACTGGGAAAGGAAAACATGAACAATATGCCTTTATTTTTAAGACTCATTTAAAGGATACTGTCAACAAAAAACAAACTTTAGGAAATACAACTTTACACTATAAAATAAACTGGAGCCATATATTCTAGAAATAAAACATTAAAATTAAAATCCTTTAAATCATCTTATCCAATTTAGTAATTTCAGTACTAGATTACAGATTCTTTTATACATTTTCAGAAATTGTGAGCTGTGATATAAATGTATTATATCAGTCCTTTGAGCTGTGATATAAATGTGTTTAATGGTATGCTGTCATACCACCACACACATTTTCTTATCACAGTTATAACTTCAAAGATTACAATTCTAGCTATCTGTGACGTTTCAAGTGTATACCGCGAGGCTTCAAGGCCTCTGTATTAGGAGAGGGCACTTCGAAGAACACACCAAGGTCTACAGGAACCACACCAATCTATGCTCATTGGTGACCCATGATAAACTTCATTACTGATAATACTCCTTTAATTATCCTCATGACGTTTGCATGTGTGGTTTCCAAACAAGATAACTTACTCCAGGCAGGATCCATATATTCCATTTCTCTGTATCTCCCCACAGTGTCCACTTTGTATAAGAGTAAGGTTATTACTCTTAATGGCAAAAACTGCAACTACTTTTGCACCAACCTAATATAAATGTTATTTATTAATATGGGAACATCTTTCTCCATGTCATAGTCAAGTGGAAGCATCTATCTGTAAAATCATATTACTGTGGTTGTTAGCAAACCATTCCTTCAACTGCCTATTAGTAAAGATCTTTGTTTTTTAGGATGAGTGATACAATTTTATCTAGAAGTTAGATCAGAAAAGCCACAGTAAATTTTCTAGTGCCATAAAATAAATCATTTTAATAATTAAGATACATAAATAGTTTATGATAGAAACAATAAAGTTGTCTCTGCACAAACATTGAATTTCCAAGTAATTTGTAAGGAATATATTCATCTTATTACATTCAAAATCATGGTTGAACAATGATGATTATAATGTTTTCTGAATGATGTTTTTATAGTCTATGAATTTGCACAGTATTACAGTAATTTATAGTATTACAGTGCTCGGTAATTTGAAGAAATGAAATAAAACTCTTCTAATGGTATGCAGGAAATTAAAATAAAATAATTAAAGTCATTTGCATAACTTTTTATGACAACAAAATAGTATTTTTCTGTAAAAATAAATTAGGTTTTTTTATACTGAAATGTTCTTCTATTAAAGTGTTTAGAAAATAGTTACATTCATTGTGGGCAGTATGCTCAAACATTCTTATTTGCCATTCCCTCATGCATGATAAAATGAGGTGCAAGCTGTTCACATGTGAGAAAAACAGCTTTTCACAGGAAAAGAAACATATATATACACACATATATATATATACACACATATATATATATGAAATAGAATTTAGAAACCCAAGTGTCATACGACAGAGATACAAAAATTCACAAAGAAAATATATTCTTCAAGGCCTTTGAGGTGACACATCTTTGACTATAATTTATCAAAGGTAGTTTTAATCATGCTACCCTGTAACTTCCATCAAATTAGCATGCTTGCGGATGGTAGGTTATTGTACTCCTCCTATAATTTAAAGCAGTGTTTGGTCAGTTGACTGAAGCACAGCAGTCGAACTCAGGACTCACCACGTTTTCTAAAGGAGCAAGAGAAACAAACATCTCCACTCTAAGCGTGGTTTGCAAGAGTAGCACCTTTGGCACTGAGCAGAACAGTTTTCGGTGTGGCGGCCAGGTGACAGAAGTCTCTGGAGTGGCACAGCATGAAAACAAGCCTGACGCTTAGGGCAGCGATATTATCGAGTCAAATTTGCTGGTTTACCTAGGAAACAGATGAAAGATAAGAACTGATTAAAGTTTAACCAAACAGGAAATATTTGCGCTTATCCACAAGTAACACCTGAATGGCAAGTTGAACCTGAGACTGTTTTCTGTTGTTTCTTCTTCTTTATTTTGCTTTTCTTTTGCTTTTTCTCAGCCCGATTTTTGTTTGGCTTCTTTTTCTTGGTTTCCTCTTTATACCATGGCCCCCAGACTCCTCCATTGAGCCGAGGGTTACTTCTGGGGTCTTTGGGGGGATACCTGACCGGCACTGCAGTTTTGTTGAACTGTGAGAGCCTCCGTAGGAGCTTCTTCACGATTCCTGGATACCTGTTAGATAGGTCCACCCTCTCATATGGGTCGGCTGTGATGTTGAAAAGCCATACACTTTTGCCAGTTGACAAGGTAATCCGTTCATTGTGCCACCGGTTCGGTCCCAGGTTGCTGAAAGACTGAGGGGGCACCCAGTCGCTGTAGCCAGGATTTCCTGTGAGCAATTTCCAGTGCTGCACTCTGATGGCTGACTGGATTGCAGTGTTCCAGATCCCATAGCCTGCTGCCCAGGAGCCATTTTTTGCCTTGGTGTATATGGGATCAATGTTATGCAAAATATCTACTCGAGGTGAGCGAAGACCCTCACTTATGGTCTCCCAGATATCATAGCCATCTAGTTGAATATCCTCATCAATCTGTCCTTCAGCCAGTGAAATCAGAGTAGGGTACCAGTCAGTGATGTGCACAAGTTCCTTACACACTGTTCCCTTGTTTTTCAGAAGTGGGCTATGCACAAAGCCTACAGCCCGGATCCCTCCTTCCCAATATGTTCCTTTGCTACCTCTGAGAGGCCAGTTACTCCCTCCTGCTGTAGGCTGGCCACCATTATCTGAAGAGTAAATGATGATGCTGTTGTTATAGAAACCATAAGTCTTTAGAGCCAATGTCACGTTGTTGATTGCTTCATCTAAGCAGGAAAGCATGGCAGCATATCTCCTCCTGTTTATGTTGATAATGGATCGGTAGTGTTCAAAATACCTGCCAGGAGCTTGCAGTGGTGAATGAACAGCTTGATAGGCAATATATAAAAATATAGGCTTTGTGGGGTTATGGGAAGCTAAGATTTGCTGTACTCTCTGAGTGTACATCTGTGTGGAGTATATGCCATTGTCATAGTCCCAGGCAGCATTGTCGTTTTCATACAAGTCATAGCCACACATCCCAGGACTGTCACATTTGTAGTGTGTATAGTAATCCCCACTTCCCAAAAGGGAACCAAAAAAGGTATCAAATCCTCTTTTGGTGGGCATGCATTCTTTTCTGTAAAAACCCAAGTGCCATTTTCCGACCATATGCGTTGAATATCCAACCTCCTTCAGTTTCTGAGGTAGGGTGGCATTGTCCAGAGGTAAACAGTTGGGTTGAGTAGGTCTTATGATAGAATGTTGAAGTCCGGTGTGTATCTGATACCTTAAGAAAAGAGAAAAATTTTATCAGGGCAGGATAAAAGAGATATTGTACATAAAACAGTGATCCCTAAATTAAATAAGGTTTCTATGGGGATCATTGTGAAATTAGAATTGACCCCAAAGATAAATGACCAATTCAGCATTTCTACTCTTTACTCACAACTCTTACTCTAATTAACTTCCTATTTAACATTTGAAATACATTTCAATCTAAACCAGTACTTTTGAAACTAAGTTTTTGCCACTTATCTCAAAGTCTTTTTGAGACGGAATCTTGGTTTTCGCCTAGGGTGGAGTGCAGTGGCGTGATCTCGGCTCACTGCAACCTTCACCTCCCAGGTTCAAGCGATTCTCCTGCCTCAGTCTCCCCAGTAGCTGGGATTACAGGCATGTACCACCACACCCAGGTAACTTTTTTGTGTTTTTAGTAGAGCCGGGGTTTTACCATGTTGGCCAGTCTGGTCTCAAACTCCTGACCTCAGGTGATCTACCTGCCTTGGCCTCCCAAAGTGCTGGGATTACAGGCGCAAAGCCACGGTGCCCAGCCTCAAAGTCTTTTAAAGTTCTTATAATGGAATTAATTTGAATACACTTTAATCTCTTAATTATATGACTGAAAACTGACAAGATAGGAGAAAAGATATATAGAATCAGAGTATTATTATTATTATTATTGCTTTTAACCTAGGAGCCTTCTAAATCATTAGCTCCTAAATAGTTTCCTGAAATCATTTATTTCAAGCTAACTATGAATTACCAAAAATACATGGAAAAATTGTAGAAAAATCTCCTGTTTGATTGTCAAACAATAGTTCATTCTTAATAGCTAATTTGTTAGATCTCTGAAATGAGAAAGAGGTTTTTGACTACACAATACATTATTGTTTAAAAATCATTTTAGAATAAATGTTTTAGCTAGTGCTACAAATTATATTTTTCAAAAAATAACAGGTAATAAGTCCTGATGTATGTTTCCCACAGTGTCTCTTTTTAAAAAATTATAATCACTTACAGTCTAAGAAAGCATAACACTTTCTAATATGTTAAAAATTAAGTGAATGTTAATTTCTTGCATTTTTCTCTTTCCAGTGGTATTTTGCAAAGGGGGTTTTCCAAGATGGGGTTATTATTACACAAGTGTATGAATTTTCACTTGGGCCAAGATATACCAGTTCGTTTCTCACATTTTAAAACTGATTGATTCTATAGTTATAAGCACAAAAACACTTTTAAAATAGAATATATAAAAATGAAAATAAAATTAAGGTTGCAGAAAATTGTCAGGGTAAATATGTAGATATTCTTGGAATCAAATTAAAAAGAAATTGAGGTCAAAAGCGACTTTTTTCACAGTGATTTAACCTGAAAGGCCAACATGTTATACATGCCTTGGATGAATAGTTTGATTTATTTTTAATATTTTAATGATAGCATGATGAAACTATGAGCTTTTTGAAGTGTTAATTGCAACACACACTGATGTTTCTGTGGGTGCTGGAGTGATATCTGATCACTATTGCAAAGCAGCATTCACGTGGACCCTATTTACTCTGCTGATCATTTAGCTGTCAGTTTTGCAATAGTCATGGTCATGGTAATTTAAAATGTAAGAAACTCCCAAAGAAATAGTCATTTCATAAACATCATAAGTACCAAGTTTAGAAGGCATTGTTACTGTTCTTGATCATTTTTTTTTTTTTTTTTTTTTTTTTTCAGACGGAGTCTCACTCTATCGCCCAGGCTGGAGTGCAGTGGCAAGCTCTTGGCTCACGGCAACCTCCGCCTCTCAGGTTCAAATGATTCTCCTGCCTCAGCCACTCGAGTAGCTGGGATTACAGGTGTACACCACCACACCTGGCTAATTTTTGTATTTTTAGTAGAGATACTGTTTCACTATGTTGGCCAGGCTGGTTTCGAACTTCTGACCTCAGGTGATCCACCTGCCCCGGCCTCCCAAAGTACTGCCACTGCGCCTGGCCTGTTCTTGATAATTTTTGGTCCAGTCCAGGATCCAAAACATTCACTTGTGAAAAAACTAATTTTAGACACAAGTGGATGTTTTCTAAAATTAGAAAAGACTAATTTTTCACACAAGTACATGATAAATTAGTAAATACCCATTAATGGAAACTTGGAGGAAATTAAAAAGGAAGACATCTATATGGGTAAAATTTTTGGGAATCATTTATGGGGATGAGTTATTAACAAAATAATTATGTTATGCAGAAAATGGATTTGACTGGGATGGCTATTCATCAAATGGTAAACCAATTAAGCATTTCTAATTAAATTGGTCATTGTCTCACCTATTGACAAAGGCAACAGGAAAAGAGGCTTATGAAAAACATAAAATACAGGAAACGTTTGCAGAAAATAAAAGAGATGGCAAGAAGAGGTTTGCTGCTTTCAGAAAATGGTGTAGCATTCGCAGATAAATAGGAGTTCAGAACTATTAATCAACTATGAGTTTTCTGTCTTCTGTAGAAAGTAGAATGGTTTTAAATTGGAAAATGTGGAACCAGCAACATAAAAGTTTGACAGCAGCTTATAACAGGGAAGAGGTTTTCAGGGCAGCTCCTGTTTCAATGAGTTCCAGCCTCTATGGTGGAATAGGAGGAAGTTTCACGTAATTTGGGGTGTGAGTTAAGGGTGTAGGTTTTGGAATCAAACAGACCTGGGTTTGAATTTGCTCCACTGCTTATTATCTTTGTGGTTTTGGGAAGTACTTAATCCCTCTGATCCTCAGTTTCCTCATCTGTAAAATAGGGATAATAATACATATTGGGTTGCTGCAAGCATTGGAAGGGAGCAGAGTCTAGTAAGGAGGGTACATTTCATCAGTGATAGCTTTAACAATTATCCCAGAGTGCTGAATTGGGTGTCACTAACATTTGCATAACGTTTTTTTAATTTATAGATGTTTATTCATATGCATTATTGCATTTAAGTTTCATTACAACAGTGAGAAGTCAGATTACTTAAGTTCATTTTATAGATGGGAAAATAGAGATGTAGAGAAGTTGTGGTTTTCTCCCCAACACCCTCAACCTGCCCCACCCAGTTGTGAAACTGATTCTTGATCAGCAGTGTCAAAGTCCGATGTTCTCTCTGTTTTTGTTAAGAGTTAATATCAGTACTTTTTGAAAAATCAAGGAGTGGAGGAAAGATGCCAGGAGTCTTGAGAAGCAAATCTGTTCTAACTTTCCAATTAAAGAAAGGAAGGATTTGTAAACTGGATAGTGAGACTTATGTTGATCCCAGAAAAACTTGAGAATGATTTTTTTTTAAAGTACATGATTTGTGAGCACTTCAAAAATAACAAATGAGACAAAGTCAAAAAAGAATAGTCCTGCCAAGTTAGCTTCATTGTCTTTTTAAAAAAAGATCAGCATTAGGTAAATAGCTTAGGAATGAGTTAGCATTTGAAAGGGCTACCCATTGTTCTTTTTTAAAATAAAATAATGAAAAATCAACTGTATGTTAGCACTTTAGTTGGAGATAAGAATGATAATCTTACACTTTAATGAAAGTTAATGTAATATGAATTTTTTTTTACTGATATGCTCTTCTCTGGCCTCCACAACTCTGTGGAGTAGGTAGGAGTGTTTCATTTAACTGAAAAAAAGAAAAGAAAGAAAAACAACTCAGAAAATAAGTCCTCACAGCACTACTCAAAATAGCAAGACTTGAAATCAACCTAAATCCCCATAAATAGGAGATTGGATAAAGAAAATATGGTACATATAACCCACAGAATACTATGCAGCCATAACAAAGAACAAAATCATGTCCTTTGCAGTAACATGGATGTAGCTGGAGGCCATTATCCTAAGTGAATTAACCCAGGAACATAAAGCTAAATACCACATGTTCTCACTTGTAAGTGAGTGCTAAACTTTGATTGCACATGAACACAAAAAAGGGAACAAAAGACACCAGGACTCACTTGACGACGGAGGGTAGGAGACAGGTGAGGATTGGAAAACTACCCATTGCGTACTATGCTTACTACCTGGGTGATGAAATAATCTGTACACCAAACCTCCGTGACATGCAATTTACCCATGTAACAAAACTGCACATGAACCCCTAGAACCTAAAATAAAAACTGTAAGGAATTAAAAGAACGAGACTAAAGAGACATGACAATTAAATGCAATATGTGGTTTTGAATTGGAATAGTTTCCATAAAGAACATATTTAGAGAACTGGCAAAACTTAAATGGGGTCTTGGGATTAAAATGGAATAACAATGTTTTCTGATTTTGATGGTTTTGTGGCTAACATAGGAGAATACTCTTGTTTGTAGGAAATACTAAAGTATTGAAGGTGATAGGACATCATGTTGGCTCTTAACTCTCAATTCAGGAAAAATGCTATTTGTGCTGTACTTGCAATTTTTCTATAAGATTGTCTCAAAATTTAAAACAAGTTGTAAGAAAATCTAACAGGGATAAATAAAAGATATTTTATTTAAAAATCAATTTTTTACATGTTAGCTGTATAAGACTATATCAATGGATCTGAGAATTAAATATATCAGACTACAAATTTAATAAAAAGCAAAAGAGAAAAATGAGAGCTATAATTGCAATTAAATTTACATTATAGAAAGGCAGTGTGTAAATTCTGATGAGTAATAATCCCATTATGTTAATTAGAACACATCTGAAAAATAGTATTCGATATTTAAGCATGTACCCCAATATATGTACATTTACTTATTTATAAATTACACTCAAGCATATTGTATTAATTTAGGAACATTATAAAACTTACACAGAATATAAATTAAAAGGGATGAGATAAAAATAAATGTAAGTAGAATTTCTTATATTTCTTTTTGCATCCTAATGAATCATCTTGCATTACCCTTTGGTGTATGTACTCCAATTTGGAGACCACTGGTATAGAAAGTAGATTTTAGAAATATGAGAGTTGAAACACAGATGGTTTAGAGAAGAATTTTTCTAAACAATTCTTCTAAACAATTAGAAGATT